TTAAATACATATTTTGGCGCAATGTTTTTCAATAATTTTTTAATTGACTTGCTGGTTGAATTTTAAGCTGAAATTTTGTGTACATAATCTAAATTCATGTCGAACATACACACAAAATTTCATAAAAAAACTCCACCGGGAATCGCCTCAAATCGCGGCGGCCAGACGGTGCTTCCAATCAAGAGGTCCTAACCGGAATATTACCCTGTTATTAGATTTTTTATCTATTTAATTTTTTAAATTAATTTTGTTGCTAATTTTTTATGATTCATTCTTCACAAAAGTTTATTAATTTTTATTACCCTAATATTTATTTTTTCTAAAAAGAATTTTAGAACTCATGACAGTTTAGGTCAGCCATATATTGATATGTTTTTATCCTTTAAGTATCTTATTGATAATGAACATATCTTTGAGGCCCCAGATTGATCAAATTTCATTTCCAATTCATTTCCATATAAGTTAATAAACTACAAAGAAATATATCATTCCATTTAGAGGTAATATGTATATTTGGAAGCAGCAGTGAGTCCATGTAATTTTCGACGCAATTTTCACTATGAGCCATCCGAAAATAGCATCTCTGCGTACATCCGACCCCTTACCCCACTGTAGGTGGGAGCCTTTGCGACAATGTGATAATGATAATGATGATTGGAATTCATTCCATATTTTTAAATCTGTATCGAATTGGTTTTAGAAAACTATGCATAATTTGTAAATGTAAAGTAAGAGAAGATGATATTAGAGTAGAAAATGATGTTTTTTAGACAAAAGAATCATGAGCTATTTTTTAGGGTATAATATAATCATAACATAATTATAGTTGAAAGCGCATATCCTACGTAATCGAAACAATCTAAAACATACACAATGTGTATATGGCTCTGTAAATCATAATATTATGTTTTCATATTATGAGAACGGCAAAACTTTCATTTGTTATTTTGAAATACTTTATATACTTTGTTAAACTAAAATATGTATATTTGAAAAACTTTGTATAGTTCATATTCCTTTCACCTTATATGCTAATACCATATGTCATGTTCATGCGATGCACGGACGATCAATAATATGTGATCGAGAACCATTTATTTAATTCTAATATACTCCGTATAACTTTTCTTGGCAAGATTAGTTTAGTAATTTGATTTCATATTTGTACAGTGTTATTCATATGCACAATATATTTTTTCTATTCTACAATATTGAGTTGCTTTTAATAATAATAGTTTTTTTTGTTTAAAAAAACATATAAAAGAATAAATTGGACTTCCAAAAATAAAGTGAGTTTTATATTCGTATTTAGTAATAAGATTATAATGATTAGTTTTCCTTATAAGATACCTTTGATTCGTTTTATATTCCTTTTTTTTAGTAAGGGACATTTTGATCATTTTCATATTCTAAATAATTTGGGATTGAAAAATATCTTTGGGCGAAGTTTATTGTCATTGACTAAGAAAAGTCAATTTGACGAACCTTTTCAGGACGGAAAAGTGAGTAACTTGTGAGTACATACACATTGCGTGATTCTCCCATATTTATCTATAATTTTATATAATAATGACACGGCCAATCGAACAATTTCTCTTTTATATATTTTGATTATTAATATATACTCCCTTCGTCCCATTGGACTTTGCCAAGTTTCTTTTTTGGTTATCCCAAAAACTTTGTCACATTCTCATTAAAGTAACTATTTTGTGGTTCTGCTCATTTCTCTCTCCTCTGCACAATCTTCAATCATACAATTTTTACTATTCTTATTTCTCACCTAACTCAATTGGTGCAAAGTCCATTGGGACGGAGGTAGTATAATTTTCAAAAATATTATTAAACTACTTTGGTTAATAATATATATATATATATATATATATATATATATATATATATATATATAATTTGTTGTAGGTAAGAAAATGAGATTTTTGGAAATTTAAATTGGGAAGAATTGAACAATATTTTTCAAAAATATCTAATACATTAATAAATAAATTATGACCAAAGTAGGACATGTGATTACTGTAAAAATTAACATGTAAAATCAATTTAGAATATGAAATATGTATTGGAATAAAATATATTAATAAATTGATACAAAATATCATTTTATTCCATTTATTGGAATAAAATGATACAAAATCAATATATTCATGTAAAAATTAACATGAACCCGATAGTACCTGTCCCGGTCGAAGTTCATTTTACTATTATTATGCTACAACCTTTTCTTGGATAATTTCAATTTAAGCCAATGTGCTCTATCTAGGATTTTATGATATTAGAATTATAATTAAACATGTATCATTTTGACTAGGTGATTATTATATATTTACGTTTCCTTCTAAATGAACTTTCTTTACGGAAGGATCGATGTTTTAAAACTATTACCTAATGTTTTTGCTTATAAAAGATACGAGTACTTGTATTTGTTTGTGTGTTTTGGAAACAAGTTAATCGAGTTTTAAATTGGTTACATTGATTTCCCACATGAAAGATGCAACCCGAAGTGATTTTTTCCCCAGTACCCGACCCTACCCGATCGTTCATGCATGGTTTATCAACTTAATTTGTGTACCGCGGCTTGGTTAATAGTCAACCCGAACAAATCGGGTAGGCCCAAAAAATATAACAAACCCGACTCAACCCGCCCGATGTGCAGCCCTAGTTTCAAGCAGTATTCGGGTGTTATTTTTTCTTCTTACAATTGTCTTATTATTTATTACACCTTGAGTAATAGGTTGAATTTCAACCATAACTAATCACTATTATTGTGCAATAGCGTTAGGATAAAGCTTTCTCAATTATGCCCTTCTACTATTTTTAGTTTATCACATAAGTCCTACAAAAAAAAGCAACATATAAGTACATTTGCTTTTAAAATACAATCAATCAATTCATTTTGACCTACTATAGAAGGATCTTTTATAAAATACTCCGTACTTCGTATGAATTAGGAGTATTGATAAATCTTATAAAAATTCATATAAATTTGAAAAATAATGTAATAATAATATAAAAAATAGTATAAATGTAAATATAGATGATATATAATATAAAAACGTTAAAGTAAAAAAAATAAATCAGAACACTAAAAAATAATGTGAAAGTGTAAAAAATGTAAAAACCTTTTTAATTTTACTTTGACATTCCGAAATTTTAAAAAATGTATTGACTTTGACATTCCGAAATTTTACACACTTTTTATCTATATTTCTTCATATTTTAACAGAGTTTTTTTAATATAAAAAATATGCTATTACCGATCAAAAATTGATTACATAGTTAGTTCGATCAATATTTTAAAATAAACGTACTTATATAATACTTTTATAGTATAAGGGCTTAAGTGACAGATGAAAATAGAAGAAGAGCTTTATATCAAATTGGTCTACTATTTACTATTTTGAGCCGGATTAGGAATTCATATAGAACGTGAATTGGGAGATTGTTGGTCTACTATTTCACCAAGATTAGAAATTAATGTATACTTAGGATGTTTTCTTTTGGACTATTTTCAGTCCCAAACCAGACCAGACCAGATCAGACCAGACCAGACTTAAACAGACCAGACCAGACCAGACCAGACTTGGATAGTTATAAAATACACAGAGACCACACGTTTACCAGACCAGACCAGACCAGATCAGCAAATTTCAGTCCAAAAGAAAACATCCTTAGTGATACTATTACTATTATTCATGGCAATTGTATTAATCCATACCCATCATTATTTCTAAGAATTTTAATTTATTTGTCCAAAATATAAAAACATTCCATTCTACTAAAACTTTTATAGAGTAGCTGCTTAGAAGGCCTAATATGATACATTGATACTATCTTGTTTGATTTTACTGACTTGAATAATCAAAACCAATTGATTCTCGTAATGACGTTCGTAATTAAACTCCATGGCCAAATATCATAATTTTGGTAGTTTAATGCCCGAGCCTGAATTTACTCCAAAATTTGTGTATTAGTATATTTAATACGGAGTATACAAATAACAGCATATGATGAACAGAATTAAGTCATTCCGCTTACACCTTTAATTTTCGGTTGGTACAAAGTAGTATATACCAGACTATCAGACTATAGGTATTAGTATGCAAAAAAAATTCTAATGATTATTTTAATAGCGAGACATTAAAATTTGGGATAGAGCAGAGTCTAATAAGCGTCGGCCCTAGCTATGCCGTTGCGGGTGAGCAGTATTCACTTACACTCGAAGTCTCGAACCATGTTGTTGCTTGGCCAGTTGGCCTATAATTAAAACAACGGGCCTACTATTTGTACACACCCTTATAATCACCAATGTGAGATGTTATTTTTGTCTATGCAAAGTTAAACATGTCTTGTTTTGCACGGAACGTGTCTTGTTTTGTTTGTGCAAAACAAAACATGTTTTGTATGCATTGGAATTTTCTGATCTGGTCTTGTCTGGTTTGATCTGGTAACTTCTGGTCTCTGTGTATTTTATAACTCTTCAAGTCTGGTCTGGTCTGATCTGATTTTGTCTCGTCTAGTTTGGTATGGTCTGCTGTTGTCTAAGTCCAAGTAAAAACATCTTCATTGAACACGAAGTGATTGCAAAAGAAGATGTGGCGTATGCAGCGGCGAACACAAGGAGGGGCAACTGGGGGCTGCCGTTCCGCCAATTTTTTTCCCTAGATATATTTACCCCGAAATTTTAATATATCCACGATGCATTATATTTTTTTTATATATACTGCCCTCTGCCCCCTGCCAATTGAAAATTCACACGTTCTACGCTGTTGGGCGTATGGGATTTCAGCACATACGCTCATAGACTATTAGGCTAGAATATATTTTTGTAAACAAAATAAAGAGATATACGTTACCTTTTCTTTTGGCTTGTGTATATTTTGTATATCTTTCATGATAATTAGGAGATACTTTAGGAGATATACTTAGCAAGTAATTGTTGTATAAATACCAGCTTATGCAATACCAACAGCAGGTCGATTGATTCCCTCACATCTTTCTTTATTCTTTCCAATTACTTTATAGACTTACAATTTTCACACGTTCTATACTTATTGTATACTATCTAAAATTTTGTAATCAGTATATAAACGGATAGATCAAAAACCTTCCTAATATACCCAAAACAATTCACGTTAATATCAATTACGAGTGATTATTTTCATATCCCAAATTTGCTTAAGAAAAAATATCATATCTCAATGTTTCCATGTAAACCACTAATCCAAATCATATCATACATGGTATATACATATTTACTTCTTAGATTAGAATAACGTACCAAACCTCTTGACTTATATATAATACTCCGTACTTTTGAAACAAATTAAGATTAAACCCATGCAAACACATTGACTTTCCATCACTCCAGCACCCAATACCTAATTAATCACACAATTAATCCCTTTTTGGTATTAATTAATTCAATCAATGGCAATTATTAGGATTATCCCAAAATTCTTTATTCCCTTTCTCCTACTCCTTTCCTCAAGCTTCTGCATCCATCTCACTTGTGCCGACACTGGAGACTGGCAGACTGCACATGCAACTTTTTATGGTGGCAGTGATGCTTCTAGCACAATGGGTTAGTACATTTTTATTTTCCATTTAACATACGAGTATTCTTTTTTGCTCGTTGATTTATATTATACGTAGTATAATTCAAATTTTTCTTCAATTCATGCCTTTTTAATTCATTAATTTTCAAATTACATGTTTGCAAATCCCTAGTGGCACAAGCTTTTTCTTTTTTATATACTAATAATACTACGTATGTACGTATTGAACTATTGATTGTTTTTATTCTACAAAAACCCACACGGCCACACCTAACGCGCAATAATAATAATTAAAGACATGTTAATTTTTTTTTTTCATTTATGTGGAGTATATCTTTATCTTTAAAAAGTTATAATAGCCAATGAGGGTTAGGGTACTTTGGGTATATAAAATGTGTTAGTGTAATTATAAGCGAATGTATGCTTGTACATTGAACTGAAACTATTGTGCCTAAGTGCCTTAATCGTCCAATATCTTTAGTACCGGAAACCCTCCGTTCCGTTAATTAATTAACGTAGCTACGAGCTTCAAAGTCTTTCACTACGAGCCTTGAAATGCATGAGTGCGTAATTAAGCACCCTTCTTTTTTTCCTTAATTTTGCATAAAACATACTAATAGTGGAGAAACGATCTTTCCATTCATTTTTTGGCTTAACAAATACGTAGTGCATAGTACTACACTACTTTGTAAAAAGCTATTTGGATTTTGGAGTATTCATATTGTTTTTTTCGTTCTTTGTTATGCAAGAAATAAAAATAGTAAGACGGCCAACACTACTTTTTTGATAAATTTAGAACGTGTACGATAACACTGGAATTATTAGTTGAATCTACAAAAATTATGAAACACTAATTGAAATCGTTCAATGAGTCTGCTAAAAAATATAAAAATTGATTTAGATTTTGAAGAAATTATATTTAGATTTTATTTATTAATAGATTCAATTAAAAAATGAAAAAATATATGAAAAAAACCCAGGATAGTTCTCTACGAGAACTTCAGTTACAAAAATAAAAATAACCTTACTTTTTTTTATTCTTGCACAATTAAACGCGTCAAATCAAAAGTTACGTACTTGACAAAAAATGTCATTTTGCTACTGTTAGATTATATAATACCTTTCATTTCATATCTCATACATCATCATGTGAAGGTCTCATCTTAGATTGAATGTGAACAATCACTGTTAGGATGTGTATTGATCGATATTTCTAACTATGTTGGTGATACTTTTTCTTATGGAACTGGAAAATAGGGTTTAGCCCTTGTGTGAATTTGCATTTATTATTTAATTTTTGGATCGTTTTTCATGATGAAGGCATATTAAATACTTTATTTTTAAGTTGACACAAATGTAAACATATCAAATACTAAAAGTAATCAAATCAAATCAACATATAATACACATATTTTTGTTGAAAAAATCATTGGGCATTTTATTTAATCGCGCAATGTGCGGATAAAAAACTAGTAGACCTAACAAAATCCACATCCGTATACAAAAACATGTTTTGTATGGTAGTATGCTACTAAAAAAAAGTATTCTCAAGCATGCGTAAAAGTGTGCACAACAGTAAAATGTGTACATCAGTGAGGGTGATATGTGCAATTGAGGCGTGCCGTAGCTGGATTCTCTGATGTTTTTAAACTAATTGTGTTTTTATCAGTGAATAATAATTCAATTAAAAATATCTTTTTATGTGTGGGAATAATAAATCTATAATACAAATATGATACCTCCTCTGGCCTATTAATCAGACTAAATTTGTTTTTACTCGAATATATCAATCAAATCAATCATCATTTATCCCAGTGCCGCAAAGGCTCCCACCTACGGTAGGGTAAGAGGGGTCGGATGTATGCAGTCTTACCCCTGTAGTAAAGCACAAAGAGACTGTTTTCCGATGACACATTGTGAAAATTGCGACCAAAATTGCATGGACTGATCGCTGCTTCATAACAAAGAAGCGCAAACAGTTAGGTGAACCATTTTGCTTTATTCCATCATATTTTCATGCCAAAAAATAATGAATCTTTGACTCCATCGCAAATGATAAACTTAAAATTGTTGCCGTGTACTTTTAATAAAAATGATAGAGCTCTTTTTTAACTCCTAAAGTTTTATAGGATGGATCTGAATGGTCTCCACTCTTAACATCCAGTATTTGAGATGAATCCGAATGGTCCCCATACTTAAACATGAAGATTTTACCTAACATACATAATTGTGTTATTTGTGGAACTATCTTTAATTGTCTTATGAAGGATTCATCCTCTTATTTCCCAAGTTAGGCGTTTCTAAGAAATTAAATTTTTTGGACTTGGCTAGAAAGAGATTAGCCTAGACGCAATTAAATATTGAAGTGGCTACATAGAATTAAAAAATGATCCCACTAAGTTTACATCTAAAAACTTAATTTGTTCACGACCTTAACTCTTTTAGTCTTAATTTTAATCCACTAAATTGTTCATAGGATACTAAACACTGATCTATCCCCCATAACACATTGAAATATGAATATTCGTGATTTGAAAATCTTTCCCATGATTTGGAGCTTCATGGGAGGCACATTTCTTCATATAAAATGAATATAATTTGGGGTTTATTTTGTTATTATGATTTAAAAGTACTGCTCTTTCCAAATGTGTCTGAGATGCGGCCTCTCCGCCTCACCTATCGTGTCTGGCTTCCCTACGCCGCACCTCGCCATGTCACGCTGCACCTCTCCGCGAGCTCCTCTCCGCCTCACCGTGTTGAGAAAAAAACATTTAAAAAAGTAAACGTGGGTATTTTAAAAAAATAAAAGTGGGTAGTGTTTGATAAAATAAGGGCCCGTTTGGTGGACACTGTTTTTTGGCTTATCAGACTTATCAACTAACTTTTACCAAAAACGTAACTTTTGATTTCACGCGTTGAATTGTGTGATAATAAGAAAAAGTAAGGCTGAAGTTACTTTTCTGGTCGCATTGGCTGAAGTTACTATTGATAATCATTTTAGCTATTTTTTCATATTATTATTTACTTATCTTTTTAGTAAAAATATTTTAAATATAATTTTTTTTAAATTAGCAGAATCAGGCAATACAATCACTTTAGCTACAACTTCATAAATTTCAATAGAATTTGCCGATTTAGCCGATTCCAGTACTACCAAACGAGCTCTTAATGCTTTTTGTGGAACAGAAAAAGTGAAAAGCAGTTAAAACATCTCTCTACTAGCTTTTAGCTCTAAAGTGTTTGTTCAAAGTAGAATTAGTTATTAACAAACACTTTTTTCAACTTTTTTTAGAGTTAATTACTCAAATAGGAGTAATAGCAAACTTAATTGCACATTTAGGACTATCAACTAAACACACGTTTCATAGGACCAAATTCAACATAGTTAGACAAAAATACCCCTAGTTTAAACTTTTTTAATTTTAAACTGCAAAATAAAAAAACAATTGGAACCATAGCAATAGCAGTGCCGCCGCTGGAGCAAGAGCTGCCACCGGATCCAGAATTGTCGCCCCTCACCGGCACAACCTACCACCACCCTCGCCGGCGACGGCGCAGCCTGTTGCCGCCCTCGCCGCCTGCCGCCGCATCGTTGTCGCCCAACCGGTGTCGACATCCACCACAGACCCCACCATCCGCCACTGACGCCACCATCCTATCGTTGTCAGTGGGGCCAGTGTTACATCTGGGACCACCACTTTACCTCTGAGCACCACCGCCACCATCACGACTCTAGCTCTGTAAATCTGCCATTAAGTTGGCAGAGATTATATCTGACATTAAAGCTGCATTGATGATAAATTTCCAGATCTGCCATAAAATTGGCAGATGTTTCTTCCATTTACAAAAAAATGGCCATAATATTGGCAAAACATTAAGTCCACAACTAAATATCCGAAAAAAAATAAAAAAATCACAAAAAAATCACCTCAATAAGAAATAATAAGTTGATGATAAAAATCAGAAAAATTGATTTACACAATGGGGTTTTTGCCATAATATCTTTGTCAGTGTACATATCTGCCATAAACTTGGCAAAACGTATCCCATCATCCAAAAATCTGAAAAATTCATTTTTTTTAAAATCAGAAATTATAAATAGGAAATACGAAATAGATGTCCAAAACCAACTAATCGAATGTCAAAACTAAAAAAATAGAGCAATGGAAGAAAAATCAGAAAAATCAATTTCAAATCGAAAAAGTAGAATAATAGGAGGAGGAAGATGAAGAAGAAGGAGGAGGAGGAGGAGAAGAAGAAGAAACCTGACCAAACTAGGCGTGCGCGGTGGAGTTGGCGTCGGTGTTGGCGTCAGCTAGGGATGAAGTCGGCTATGAAATCGACATGGAATGTACGGCAGAAGAAATTGATGGATCTCGTGAGAAGAAGGGAAGAGATGAAATGTGCAAGGAGATAAGGTTTTTGGGAGAAGGAGAGAGAATAAGTGTGCATAAGGGAGATAAGGTTTTTGGAGAAGGGAAGAGGATAGTTAGATCGATCGGCTAACAAATAAGGGTAATAATGGAATGAGAAATTTCTTATGTTTTAAAATAGGAGCAAAATGGTCCTATTTGGGGGAAAAAACATACATGGTCCTATTTTAGATTTTCTTCCATGTTTTACTCCTATATGAGGCCATTTCTATTTGTTTTTAAAATTAAAAGTCGAGAAGTGCTTATTTTAAGTGTTAGCAAACACTCCTTTAGTAACTACCATTGTAACTTTAGTGATCATGGTTGTATTCAATTTTACCACTCAAGTCACAATGTATAGTAATTATAGTAATATTTTTATCCACTAGTTATATCTCAGTCATATTTAAGGAAAAACTTTTTACCTTGTTTATTTCATTCCTAAAATAAGACTCATGGCAGGGATAGATATAGGGTTGTGGTGTCAACTGACACCACTCAAATATTTCTCTCATACGTATGTATATATATATTTTTTAAAATATAAAATTGACACCATTGAAAAAATAATCTACATACCCTTTTGGTGTACACCTTTTGTACATCCCCTATTTTCGTTGGTGCACACATGCAGCTCGTAACAAGAAATGCAATTCGTCTCTGAACATCATACTTCAAAAATATAAGGGTGTACAAAAGTTATTCACCAAAATGTGTACAACAAAAATGGTTCTTTTAAAAAAGTTGGGATCAATCATGTAAATATTTTAAAAGTTGGAACACTAACTTCAAAAGGAATAAAAAGTCACACACACAAAAAAAAGTTTGAGCAGCACAACTCTCACTCCAACACTCTAACTCCAATTCACTTCATGAAGGAGTGACGGAATCATAGAAAAACCGATTGCGCAATCCAATGGATGACGCTTTGATAAATGATGACTTTGTTACTTTTATTGAAATAGATATATTCAAAAGAGTTGAGAAATAAAAACTTGCATAACATTTAAAACATATGACAACGCGGCGTGGGTAGTTGTGAATTAGAAATTTAATTTTATGAATGACAAACTTTGTTGTTTTGCTTTATATATGTACATATTATTATATAATACTTCGTACCACATAATATTTTGTTCAATTGACACTAGTGACATTATATCATGGCTCCGTCCCTAACTAATAGATTGGTGAGGTATTATTCTTTTAATGGAAGGAATTATAAACATATAATCTTATTTATTCGTTTTGATTAACTTATAATCCTATTTAGAGTAATATCTAATAAACATAAATCCATCTATTTGAGGCTTTGAGCACTTTCTCAATTTCTCTGTGTTTTAAACCTATTAGAGCAATTTCTTTCAAAAACTAAATAACTAATTGTTAAATGTTCCATACTAGAAAAGTTTGGATGAATAAAGTACTATATTAACACATGGGCTACTCCTCCTATCAGGTTGACCTTTTAGGATGGAACCCCGTGTTTTAACATGATAAGAGGAGTAACCCATGTGTTAATATAGCACTTTGTTCATCCAAACTTTTCCGGTGTGGAACATTTAACACCCCTCCTCACCACCAGACACTTGGTATGGATCGTGCCATCATTCATTTTTTTTTCATCGGTCCGTTGTTTTTTTCATCCGGCCGTTTTATAATCACGTCATCATTTTCATGAGGGGCCCCACATCATGGATCGATTTGGCTCTGATACCATGGTAAGACACGGGGTTCCATCCTAAAAGGTCAACCTGATAGGAGGAGTAGCCCATGTGTTAATATAGCGCTTTGTTCATCCCTTTGTTAGTAATATACGGTACGTGAATAATACAATTATACGTACGTTCGTGTATAATACGATACAATTATATAAAATACGGCTTAATATATGTTTCATATGTTCGTGAAATATATAAAGGTACAGACACGTTTTAAACGTTTCACAAGCTTTAAATAAGTATGTGTCTTACATACTTATTTAATGATAGAAATAAAAAGTTATTTAACATTTGCACCACAATCTTCAACAATTTAAAATGTACGGAATAATTTTTTTTCCAGATTTACGGATTTAAATGCATAGGTACAATACGTAATAAAAATGACATTGCCTATTTAAGTAGAAGTGGAGAGATATTACTAGAAAATAGTTGATATTACTTTGACCATGAGTTTAGTGAGCCGCCACAACATTTTTTGATCTCTTTGGAGTCTTGGTATGGGTGGAGAACAAAAGTAATATAGTAGTAGTACAATAGAAGTATCGAAACAGATTACGAATTTAAGAAGCTAATTCGTTAAATGTAATGACCGTTAAACAATTAGCGAACATATAAGGCATAACGTTTTTTTAAGCAATATAAATAATATTGAGTAGCTTGACATGCATTTTGTTTCGGTTGTATCACTCCATTAGGCTTCCGTTTAATGGCGTTTTTTTAATAAAATACGTATCAATACGTACAGTACGTGTATTATATATCCTTAAAGTACGTGAGTTTTCAGAATTTTCTAAAAAATTCATAAACAGGAGTATTATATGAAATAAAATACGTATCAATACGTACGGTACGTGTATTATACATTTTATCCTTAAACTACGTGAACTTTTCAAAAAAAATTGAAAAATTCATAAACGAGAGTATTATACGTGAATTATACGTTCTAGTGTATTATACGCGAATTATACTTCATCCACACTTTTCCGGTGTAGGACATTTAACACTAATAAGTATAGGAGAATTAAGTTGTATGCTAACTTTGGAAGAACTGAATGCAGGCGGAGCTTGTGGATATGGCGACTTGTACAAGACAGGGTATGGTACAGACATTGCAGCATTGAGTACCGCCCTTTTCAACGATGGCCTGGCATGCGGCTCATGCTATGAGATCACGTGCACCGGCCCGAACTGCGTGCCGGGAAGCATCACAATCACCGCCACTGACCTCTGCCCGCCGAACACGAGCTTGCCCAGCGACAACGGCGGCTGGTGCAACCCTCCCCGCCCACACTTCGACATGTCCCAGCCTGCCTACTTGAAAATCGCCATTTACAAGGCCGGAATTGTCCCTGTTTCTTACCGCAGGTAAATCCATTTCTAACTTGTCATATAAACTACTGACTAATTTGTAGGCAATAACTAACTAATTAAAGCAATTTGAGTATATACCTTAGAGAAATAGAGTTATAGAGGGTGTTTGGGTGGCAGCGTTTTACACCAAAATGCAAACTTTTTATAATTAGAAATGCTGCAAAATGCAGCGTCTTTGCACCCGCCCGCCGAAAAACAAACACCGCCATGATTTGAGTGTGTATGTGTTATGATGAAGTAATTGATCAAAATTTTAATGCTATGGGTATATCAATTTTAATATGCGATGATTATCATTTAAGAGAGTTAATTGTTTCAAAAATAAAAGTTAGAGCTTTAAATATGAACATCTAGAAGAGGCAAGTGAAACCAAGCCTCAGATAGATGGAGTATCTTATACTCTAAACAAAATTTGTTATCAAGCACTTATGATATGAAAAATGCTTGGTATACATAGTATATAAAAGTATATGTATACTTGCTAATGAATTACACGTTGGATCTGTGCAGGGTATCTTGCATTAAGAAAGGAGGAATAAAATTCACCGTCAAAGGAAACACTTACTTCAACTTGGTTTTAGTTAGTAACGTCGGTGGTGCCGGAGACGTTCATTCAGTGTCCATCAAGGGAACAAAAACTGAGTGGCAACCGATGTCAAGAAATTGGGGCCAAAATTGGCAAATCAACACTGTTTTGACCGGTCAAAGTCTTTCATTCCAAGTTACAACCAGTGACGGAAAGACGGTCGTCAGTAACGATGTTATGCCCTCAAACTGGCAATTTGGTCAAACTTTTGAAGGGGCTCAATTCTGATCTCAATGCTTCAAGACGCAATAAAAGAACCTATAGAGAAAGTTTTTCTTTTTCTTTGTAGATCTAGATTATTCTAGAACTAGAATAGGATTTCTTGAAATCAAATAATGTTTTAAATAAGACAAATTTTATAGTACCTTATCAATACTTTCTTCTGATTCACGGCCAATTAGAATAAAGCAGTTGAGTAATTTCTGTATAAATATATGATGAAATAATGACACAAATTAATGAAATTTCATATCCTTGTACTGTATCACTCACATTTAAATAATTTCAGAGAATGGAATTATGCTCTAAGCCATATGTATGTGTTGATCTCACATGGAAATATAAAAAGAAGATTCTGGGTTTGAAGTTAAAGGACGTTTTTACTTAGACTACTGTCAGTCCCAGACCAGTTCAGGTCAGACCATACCATATCGGACCAAATCAGAACATACCAGATCAGATTTGGATAATTATTAAATACACTGAGATCAGACGTTTACTAGATCAAAATAGACCAAAAAATTTCAGTCCAAGTAAAAACATCCTTATTGAACAAGTAGGAACATTTATTTATCTAATCTGATCTGCTGACTGCTAAGTAGTTCAATTTACCGGCCCTTCATGATTTCAATGGGCTTTATGAACATAAGTGGCCAGTCTTTTCCAAAAACTTTTTCTCTTTTTTATTTGGTTAGGTTTCAATATATTTACTGGATTGAAATGGGACGACATCTAAACAAAAATTGAAAGAGCTAATGAAAAATTGAACCATAAAAAGGAGAAAGTATATAAAAATTAAAATTAAATAATAAATAAAGTATATAAAAGATATAAAATATATGGATGGATCTCCTACCGTCTCTCCCTCCGTTTTCCAGCAGCTCCGCCTCCATATGCATGCAGGCATGCAACTACTGTCTTATTTATGAAGCCTATATGCAATGACCCTGCCCAGCAGATGTCTTTTGTTTCGAAGGTCTATGATTCTCTTTCAATATATTCTTTTTTTCATGTTCTTATTTATTCTTTTTTTATTTTGGCTATTTTGCCTTTATGATTGAACGATTGTAAGTTGAGAAGATTATTGTAAGGCTATAAATGCTTTAGAAGTGTATTTATTGGGACTCCAATTGTGCTAACTGCCAAGTATTGAGAAATTTGAACGGAACTAATTACTCTTGTATGTAGTAATTTGGTGGAAGATTTGAATGCGTCCAATTTGTTTTGCTTAGTCTGAACCTTATTTGCTAGTGGGCATAACTTAATTGACACTTTGACAGATAGGGATGTCAGAAGCAGTAAGTCTTGAGTTCGAACCTTAATAACTGCCATGAGAAGTTACTATGTTAAAATGCATAAAGTCTTTGTAAGTAAATGAGCCATAATCTCATTCGCTATCTACTAGATTATAATTAGAATCCAATTTATATCTTCCCAATCTGGATTATCTACTCGATGAGTACTCGCAATTCGGGTACTAGCCTTGTCGAATAGCTACCTAACTCGGTCCGTGTTTTACTCGCCGAGTACTCGACGAGTTTCTCAACTTGGTGAAGTTTTCAACTCAGCGAGTTACTCGGTCTAACTCGATCCCCCCTTATAAAATTGAAAAATTAAAATATAAAACCTTTGTTAAACGGAGTTTCTGACATCTACTATCCCCTAGAGCTGTGACTACGATTTCTGAATAAGTAGTCATCTTCTTTTTGGTATCTTCCACTCTCCCCTCTCTCGTTTCTTTCCACCCTCCCATCCTTCTTCGCCAATTGTTCGTTCCAGCATTCTTAAAATATGACCATCTTAATTGTTTAATATTGATACACACATATATTTTGATAAAAATAAATTCATTTCACTTGTATGAGTATATATATTAGATTATACTACATAACTTTTAATTAATATCACTATATTGATTGTTTACTATGGCACATCATTGATTGATACACACTGTCACACATCATCTAATTGACAATCATGAACTCTACTCGGTCTGCTAAGGTTTCTAATGGCGCTTGTAAGGAATAAATGTAATTAGATTTTGATGATGCTATAGGATTAGAAAGATAGAGTACCCCCCCCCCTAATTAGATTTTATGTGTTAGAATTTTCAATTGTAAGTATTAGTGTAGTCGACGATTAGAGTTGCTCTATTTTGGATCAGATCAGAAGTGCATCAGAACTGCTCGACCAGACTTGCTCTATGAGAACTGCTCCATCAGAGTTCTCTTAGCAGAAGTCCATCAGAGTTGCACCATGAGAGTTGCTGATAAACTTGGACATCTGATAACCGATGAGAACTACAAATCAAAGGTACTCATCAGCGGACATATCAGAGTCAGAGTTAGAACTTTATCCAAGATCAGAAAGCCATCAGAACTCAACTCATCAGAAAGCAATCAGAATCCAACACATCAGAAGAGCCTGATCAGAGCCCGACTAACACTTAGAAGATTTCAAGCAACATCCAACAGCTATGAATTCAACGGGTAAAAACATCCAACGGCTAGAAGACTGTGTATGAAAGGAAAGCATTTAATGCACATTAAATGAGCCTGATACGCTGAAGGATTGATTGCAAATGATTGACCAAGGAATCCGGGAAGATATATTATAAAAATAGAAACCTTCCAAAACGGCGGTCAAGTCAACTGTACGCGCATTTAATGCAGTTGTCTCCTCCTCCAACGGGCAGACAACCCCAGTATATAAGCTACTCACCGAAGAACAGGGATACAACTTTGCTACAACTTTTGCTCATCAAACTTTCAAGCTCTCTTGAGATTCAAACTCCACAACACAAAAACAAGAAAAGCTTACGTTGGGAAGATTCAATCACACAATCTCTCATCCCCAACAAGAGCAAAGTTCATCCTGTTCTTCAACTCTTCAAGATCTTCATCAAACATCATTTGTGACGAAGCAAGTTGGAGGAAAAACTCTGTTTTTCAAAGGATCTTCTGAAAAGAAGGGCGTCCAAGTAACTGCAGTAGTGAAGTGGTGATACTTCCGGGAAGCTGAGTGAAAGGACCAGTCATCAGGAAGCAGGATTGCATCCCGGGTGACAACTAGACTTGAAGAAGGCGTGGAGAACTTCTTAAGTGCTAGGGACTAAGCTTTGTAACTGATCTACTTCAAAGCTAGTGGAACAGTGGACTAGAGGAACGAGTTGTTCCTTGAACCACTATAAAATATCCGGTGTCATTTACTTTACTGCAATCTATTTTCCTGCACTTAGGATATTAACTGCTTAACTCTAAGACTTGGAATCTGTGTTCAGCAGATCTTGTTTTCAGAGTTATCAGAAAGGCATTTGCCTTAGTATTTCTGAGGCTACCCGGACAGATCAGAATCCGCTGCCAAGGCCAGTTCTGATATCAGAACCAGCCTATCTCTGTCATCAGAATCAGACCTTCTCTGATAAGTCACTTCTGACTTAGAGAAAATTTGAAAAACCAACCAGTCTATTCACCCCCCCCCCCCCTCTAGACTGGTTACCATATTAAACGGGACCAACAAGTGGTATCAGAGCCTCCTTGTTCTTGTAATCTTTTAGGTTACTCCCTGAACAAAGATCCACTTGTTCTTAGCCTCTATTTATTTGTTATTATGGATAACTCTCTTGCAAAGCATCTTATGTTCACAGATCAGAAATATGATGACTGGAAGATCCGGATGAAAGCTCATCTTTGTGCCCTGCATGATGAAATGTGGGAAGTCTTGGAGAATGGACCTTTTATCCAATTCATGAAGGTCAACCCTGCGCATACCTTAGACAATAATCTGCCTCAGATGATTGAGAAGACCAGGTCTGAGTGGACCAAGGAAGAGAAAAGACAGTATAACCTTGACAACATTGCCAAGGACATTCTCTACAAAGCTATTGATGAAAGATATTTCAATAGAATAAAGAAGTGCAGAACAGCTAAGGAAATCTGGGATAAGCTTGATGAGATAGGTGCTGGTGATGAACAAGAAAGAGATAACAAGTTGACCATAGCTATGAAGAAGTTTGATGACTTCAAACTTCTGCCAGAAGAATGCATTGCTAAGATGCATGAGAGACTGCTGATTCTCATTAGTGAGATTTCTGAGCTTGGGAAGGAGCTCACCATCAAAGAGGTCAATATGAAGATCCTCAGGGGACTGCCTTCAGCTTGGAAGATGAAAGTGATTGCAGTCCAGGAAAGCAAGAACATCAAGACTTATGCCACTGAGAAACTCGTCTCTGATCTCAAGGCTTATGAGTTTGAGATGCATGAAGAGAAGGAAGAAGTTCCTGATGAAAGGACCACCACTGCTCTTACTGCCAGTACCTCAAAGGTAAGTGACTTTGACCCTTCTACTCTTTTATCTGATGAGTATATGGCTGCCTTTGCCAGAAAATTTAAGAAGTTTATGAAGAAAGATGGAAGGAGTCCATCTTCCATCAGAAGACCTCATCAGAAGACCAAACCTTCTGAAAGCAATGAAGAGTACCTCTGCTACAACTGCAGACAGCCTGGGCACTTCAAAGCAAACTGCCCCTATCCAAGAGTGTCCAAGAAACAAGGACATGAAGAAGAAAAGAAGCCTGAAGATCAACACAGAAGAAGAAGAGCATTCGTCTCAGAGCAAGCTGAGAGAGATCCACTCTCTGAATCAGAGTCCAGTTCAGACTCTGACTCTGATGAAGCTTTCTGCTGCTTGGATGCAGAAACTGAAGACCTTTGCCTCATGGCACAATCTGA